CATGTTTATCCTATAGACACAAGATTAACCAAATAAGTCTATTTAACTTTTTGTCTTTTTGTCACTTATCTGTCTATCTATTCATACTATTGCGGTTGGTCATTATCGATCTCTGACATTGACGACGGCTGGTTTCAATGACAGTTATTTGGTATCAATTTTTATTTTTGAAAACTTATACATAGTTTGTAAAATTTACTAAATTCTTGTAACCATAAAAAAATAATTTTATTTGCTTTTTCATTCGTTCTACTTATTATCTTCTCTAGCCACTACCTATCGCTTATACACTACCATATCGACTCACTACATCTGGCCAGCATGGTCGATAACCTCATCTAATAACTATTTTTGACCATCACATCTAGGGGGTTGGCAACCACTTTCTGACCACGACTATTTACCTCCTACAGACAACAATTACTTTAATCTCTGATTGTTAGCAATCACCTTTGCCTCACACATTCTATGAACAACAACCATCTTTAGCTATCACAAATCACTCTAGTCCAACACCTTTGGCAACGTACAACCACTTCTACCATCATTTCCAACCACAAACAACCACTCTTCAGTCGCTAGGTGTTTTTTAAAATACATGAGAATCAAATATGTTCTTTGTTTTATTTTTACAAAAAATAAACATAAAGCTTGTTTGGTTTCTTTTTCAGAAAAAAAAAAAAAATCAGAAGTTTTTTTTGAAAAAAATAGAAACTTATTTGATAAAAATAAGGGAGATGCACCATTAAATCCCAAATTCCAATCTTTTTCCATTTAGTTGTAACTTTAATCTTATGAACAACAAGTCCTATCCCAATGTAAAGGACGTATTGGCCAATGTTTTATCACGTAAACTGAGAGGTAATTGTCGGTATGCTGATTAATTTACATCTATGCCCTAAATCTTTCGTAAAGAGAATTTTTGTTTCTCTCCAAAGCAATCGGAATGGAAGAGACGTAAATGAGAATTTTTGCTGCGTTCCGATGTTAATGGGATTTTGATTGTGAGTTACCCTATTCTGGAACTTACGTTTACATCGTGAAGTTGAAGAGGCCATGGGTCTATATTGTCGTTCAACGAGAAAACAACCTCCACTCATTGCCATCGGTATTGTGTCATCAACAAGTGATGCCAGGTAAGTTGTTTTGTATGTATGTGCACTCATGACTTCTTTCCGGTTGTTCATATTGATTTGTGGATTGGTTGTAGGTGTGTTGTAATTTGTTGAAATGTGGGATTTATTGATGTTTTTGTTGTAGTGTTGATGGTCGGTTCAGTGTCACGACCCATTTTGCCCATAGTAGAATGGTTCGTAATGGCCAGTAATCCGAGATTACCAAAGGCCAACTGACAAGGATTCACACATAAACAGAGTATACATATGGGGCTTACAAGTGCGGAAGCAATATATTTGAATCTAATTAGTCTATAAGAGCTGTGCATAGATTAAATGAATGGCAATCATCTTAACATGTCTATAACTGAATACAATAAAAATAAGGTACATATTACATCTTGATCAAAGGCTTCTCAAGCCGACATATACAAAAGAGTGAATTACAAAGCCAAAAGCATAATCTTAAGATGCTAGCAAAAGTATGAATCCAAACATCAGGCAAAACACATCTAGGCGTCACGCCCTCCTGCTCATCACTTTATATATATATATATAGGTGAGCTTGGAACCCAGTGAATGATATCAGAAATAAAGGTTTCATGACTGATATTCAAGATCTTTGTCAAACAATACATAACATATCTCGTACAAAATCAAAAGATGAACCAAGTCCATTGTCAAATCTTTCAAAGTTCAAGGGACTTACTAGATCAATATAGTACAAGGGATGACATTCCGGACAAACAAACCCACGGGTAAACCGTCGGTGGCAAAATAAGGTGCAGTTGTATTATATCCCTGGCACTAAGACTTTCAAAACAAGGTGCAGTTGCATTATAGTCCCTGGCACTAGGACTTTCAAAACAAGGGTCAGTTGCATATAGTCCCTGGCACTAAGGACTTTCCAGAATGTCATCAAAACAATATAATACTAGATACAAAACTAGGGAAATCATTCATGCTTGATCAAATACTTTTCCAAAAAAAACAAAGCTTATCAAAACTTTATAACATAACTTTATTAAAAATACCACTCACATAGCTTTCGGGT